GACGTATAAGCCTCTTCCTAAGATTTACCTGAATATACTGCCATTATCTGTCTGATAGTTCATGCATGAATTCAAAACTATACTTCATGTTGTTTTCGAATATTCAACTTAGAACCGAGTACTAAAATGAGCGAAAGCTACCATCCAAAGCACAAAATGACGTAAATAGTCGAGTTCGATTATGAGGGTTAATTACTGAGAAATACTAATTATACATTTCACTCAAAACAGAATTTTATAGAATCACTCCCTTTCTCTCTCACAAATTGTAACTACGAGCAAACATTGGCGAATGTGAGAACATATAGCATAGAAGTGCTCATAACCTCGGAGAGTAGATTAAATGAATGTAGACTAGCCGAATAGCCAAGCGGAGAGTCAGTAATTCACTCGTATCTGGTCATCTAGACGACAATCACGAGCAAACTGAGGCACCGAGTAGTTATCAGGATATCACCAGTAGCAGCCACAGCTCTAATGCAGTGGGAACCAATCTCCTCATCCAGGATCATGACAGCAAGATTCAACTCAAAAGGAAGCAAGGAAAGCTACTATCACAAAATGCTACACACAGTGCTACATACAACTCAGAAAAAAGAACAAGGAAGATTTCTATAGACAATTGCAAACAGTTGTGGTAAACATCCCAAATAAAGACATGAAATTCTAATGAGTGATATCAACCAAACTAACCAAACTGAGAACAAACAATACGGGAAGAGAAATCATCATTGGTCGAGCTGTCCAGGTGAAATGAATGACGATGAAGAACTCTTCGCTGACTTCTGTGCCTTCAATAACTTGGTGATTGGAGGCAGCCTGTGTACAAACACAAGAATATACGCAAGGCTGATGACATTAAATTCGCCTGTTAGACACACCACAACCCAGAAACACTTCATCTCAATGCTGCTCACAAAAGTGGAGATGCAGCTAGTGTGCTGGACACAACGCCGAGAAGGCGAGCAGATGTGAACTCGGATCATCATCTAGTTCAAGGAACAGTTTAGCTGAAAACAACTGGAGACAGGCTACTGTAATTCAAGTTCGACATTCGGAAACTGAAGGACGAAACTACAAGGTATACACCTCAATGCAGCCATCAGAGCAAAGTCCAGGACACTACGCGGCATTACTGAGGATACCTATGTGGTAGAACATTAGAACTAGCTCTCTCATCGTGATGTTCAAGGAAATGTGTACAACTCTTCTGGGAAGACGGATGGCGAAAATGATGACTCAATGCGAAGATGATCAACGAAAGGAAAGACTGAGTTATACTTGTGTCGCACTGGATAAAGTTGAAACGAAGAGTGCAAGGAAAGACAAAAGAAAATTCTAGGGGACACTAACAACTGAAGCAGAACAGGCTGCAAGTAAAAGATACCTAAGAGCGTTATAGGAGATATCCAGGTCTTCATTCAAGAAAAGATCAAGGAGATCGTGTAAAGAGGAGTTGAAACAGTATGGACTAACATGGATGCTGGTCAAAAGCACAGCAGAAAACAGAATCAAGTGTAAACGTGCATTTGAAGCCCTATGTTTCACTAGGAACTTGAGAGAACAATAATAATAATATGTAACCTACAAAATATGACCAAGGGAACCCGGTCGCCAAGGGAAGGAACATATGAAATAATAAGCTGGTCACTTTGAAGTAAACCTTAATCGAAAACCAGCTGCAGTTTTCCAAGAAATAACATTAACCGTACACACAAAACTGTCACTGGACACTAATCCTCTAACGAGAGCAGAAATCGTGAATGCAAACAAGCTTCTCAATACCGGGAAGGAATCAGGACTAGACGAAATTCCTTCCGAAGCACTGAAAACGGACCCAGAGACTACAGAGGACATCCTCAGAACATTATTGCAAGACGTTCAGAAGGAAGGAAAAGTGCCTAGTGATTGGGATAAAGACTATCTTTTCAAAATGTCAGGTAAAGGAGGCTAGGACCCCTACAATAACGGGTGCGGAATCATTCTCTTGTCCACGTCTGGTGAAATAGTAAGTCTCATGCGAGCGGAATCGGTTAGATGGGAGATTTTGTCTTCCATCGTGCACAGCAGTGCACGACACAACAGCGTTGTTGTGGGAATATTGTTATCGAAAATGGTAAAATTCCCCTCACACACATCACATCACACGTTATGTCACCCTGAAATCAAGGTTCAGATCAATCAAACTTTCGCTCAAACTCTGTCTTATGTCTCTGAATATTTGATCTGATGTTCCTATCAATAAATTAGAGCGGATATCCATTTTGGATGAATGCTTCTGTCAGAACGTCTACTTCTTCTTCTTCTTTCGGGGCATTAAAATTGCAAATACGTCAAACGCTAGTGGTGAGGAATATTAGTGCATTCCATTTTCGCCCAGTGGTACATCAGTGCGATCGTCCAGCTAGTCAAAATGAAATCCCCGGAAATGCTTCTCCTTTACTACTTGTTTTGTTTTTCACTAACAATGAAGGCTACTTATTCATACCTCCTTTCCAGCTCGTATATCTATTTATAAAACGTTTTATAGCTAATGCACAGATGTCTACGAATCAATATTCGTAGGATCTGAACATAAAAATCCACTAGATAATTGATATTAATTTATGAAATCTAAGAAAATTCAAGTGTTTTTTGGAACAGATGTAGTGTGAAATGTGTGCATCGTTTTTACTGGTAGCCATAACAAGACATAAACTAAAAGGGCTGAATGCTTGTGTTAGATTTTTTGTTTGACTCAATCAAGATAGCCGAATGAACTTATTAATATGTAGTGGAGATTGTAAGTGATCCCATTACAACATGGTTCACTACTTTGACGATGATATAGAAACAAATCTACAGGTCATTGCATTTAAATATTCAGAAGCGATAATCAAAAATAACGTAGTGCAGAATGAATCTATTTCATTTGAATGAAAACATGTACTTTACCTTGTACAGGTTGTTAGGAATGCGGCATGTGAAAATTTCTCTACTGCAAACACAACACCTGTTCGCTATTTAAACTCTTGTCTGAACTGAGACTGAATTTTGGACTTTTGCGAATTTCTAATCCTTTTTTTTAACCTACTGTTTACTTTTCACTTCTATGAATCTTAATGCAACTTCCAGAATAATATATTTTGCTTATGTCAATAGACTTCTTCCTCTATTCATAAGTTTTGTTTAAAAAATTCGAAACAAGGTAGGATATTTATTTGATTGTCTCTAAATTACTTTCATGTGTGACTTTATTTTGGATGGTTTGTTTGTTAGGTTTCAAGTTGTTGGAGTATTTGTGATAGCTTTACACAATGAAATGTGTAAATATTTAAGATAAACAGTTACTTTGGAACTAGATGTGAATAGGAATCGGAATGATTTGAACTGTAGAATAAGGTCGACTGATAAACTGAGGAGTTCAAACAAATGGACTCAATCACGAATCTTCGCTGTAACTATAAGAAACACTTTAAAATTATACATTCACTGTATATTTAGCATTATTTTTTATACTTTCCTTCGCTGCCCAGTGGGATATAGTGCTTCAACGGCACATCTCGACCTTCATCTATTTTCGACTGTCCTCTTCACCTAAGCCTAAGATGGCTCATAATCGCTAATCTTCTCCTCCCACGATCTTCTCCATTTCACCCCAGGACAACTCACTCGTTTTCCACTCAGGCTACACTAGAGCAATGACCTGGCACACGATGTCATTTGGTGCCTATTCACCTCCACTTTCTCTTACATATTTATTGATAAAAAGGCTCCCGTCTAGTTCGTTACCAGAGTTTATTGTTGCTAACTCTTTCTGCCTAGACGATCGACAATTTGATCTTCAAAATGGAGCCAGGGAAGTCAGCTGGTGGTAAAAGTCTGCAAATTGTTGGAAATCCTTTTCGTGATACACGCGCAATACAAGTTTCTGGCCCATTGAGAACAACTGACTGACTTCATATTTGTGTTGAAAATCTGAATCTAGTTCCTTATGCTGAGTAAAAGCAGAAGGTTTCCACCCTGTTTTCAGCTTGATGAAGGTGTATCTTGCCTTTTCCATTCTGCCTTTGACATCTTTATCCGTTCTGCCAGCTGTAGCTGAAACGATGCTTCTTAGATAAGTGAAGGAAGTAATCTTCTTCAAATGTCTCCCATCGATATTAGTTGGCACTGGTTGTTGTTGCTGTTGCGGTTGCTGTTGGTTATCTAAATCACCTCCACCTTCTCTATGTTCACCTGGAGTCCTGTCTTCGAATTCTGGTGAGATTAAACACATATCAGCTACGCAAAAAATCCAGATCTCCTACAGTTTTCTCATCGATCAGTCCAGAGTATTCCCGTCTTCTAACCCCCACACACAGTCTGACGTACAATTCAGTCCATCTTAATTAGAAATATCATTAGTGATAATAGGCAGACAGCTTGTCTCACCCCTTTATTCACTTCATACGACTCGCTGGGATTTCGGTTGTGGAATACATGACATCTGGCATTGTCGTATAGCCATCTATTGAATTAAGGTAATAAAGATTTTAGCACTGCACTCCGTAGTATTGGAGTAGTGTCTAAATTACTTCTCAGTCAACGCTGTCTCGCGATGGCTTTTTTGAAGTCGATCAAGCTGAAGTGATGACTATGCGCAGAGTTGCAATCTGATCAGCACATGATTTGCTTTTCTAGAATCTAGCTTGCTCCAATTTGGCGGTGTTCAGCATCAAGTGCAACTTTAATTCTCTCCAGGATGCTCCGATCTCGCCTAGTTTACTCCGTCTCTAGGTTCACAGCCAGTCATAAGCCGGGACAAAACGAGAGTTTGATGTGTCCATTAAACAAATGTCCATATAATCAAAATGAACCCTGTCACTAATGAACTGAAAGGTAGTCTAAGAGATGAATGTTTACAATAAGACCCTTACTCACAGTTTCATTGTTGAAAACTACAAATTCATGTTCAGGTTTGTCTATAGGAAACTTGTCCAAGAGAACACAGGCAACTTTGCAGCAGTGAATTTTATTTTGTGATCGTTTACAAATGACTGTACAATATCATTGAATTTGTTGATCATTCATCATACATTTGGAACAGCCAAGTGAATAGTCACTAAAACTATTCAAAATACGTGTATGCGACATAAAAGGGAGTATTTCACATCGTTCATCGTTATTTGAGGACTCCAATGACATTTGACCATATTCTGTGTTAGGACGATCCGAGAAACTTCTGACATCATAGGAATTGGAATTTGAACAAAGAGTTTGGTTGACGACCTCATGGTAAGTTGGTGGAAGTGATTGTTTTTCTGCATTATTCGCTGGTACTTTGTTTGATGATTTAACAGGGGAATAAGACTGATCAGTGTTTGTTGTTTTGTATTTTCTAAAGTCATCTGTTGATAGATTGGACTTCAAAGTGGGATAGCAAGTCGTGGAATAACATTCTCTTAGAGGTGAATTAATTACATGTCCATTTAGCTGCTCTGGATCATAGAAAGCATGTGGGTGAAGTAGTTCTCGAAGATGAAGGAGCACAAAGTCGTCATCTGGCAATTCACGGAGAAGCTTTGAGGCTGCTTCTTGACTCCAGCTAGTGACAACCTGATTATTTACACAAACCAACTCATCGCCTTCTTTGATGCCTGCCTTGGATGCTGCTGAGTTGGGGAGAACGACATCCACATACAGTCCCTGTATAGAGTGAAGGAGGTAAAAATAAAGAAATGTATGGTTGTAATATTACCAAGGCACTTTCATTTATATCAATAAGGCACTTTTGATTTTGCTTTTAAGTATAATAATAGAATATATGGAGCAAGCTGTGGTTTGTCACTGAAGTTCTGGAGGACATTAAAGTGGGATTCACAAGTGTTCCTGAATTACGAATATTCAGTAAATTATACTTAACTGTGTGAGTTAAGTCTAGGCTTTAATCTGCAATGGGGAGAATAGTGTTTCCATTGCTATTTGTCCCAGTTTTTACTACATCGTTTATTTGGAACTAAAAAATGTGCACTTTCCATTATTACACTTACAAAACGGTTAGTAATTCCAGAGACGTATAAAGCAGAATTGACGGAGTAACCAACTATCAGTGTCGCCATACAATATAAAACCAAATGTCAGTGTTGACGGTGAAAAGTGGTGTGGTCAGTGTGCATCAGACGAATACACTTGCCATTCCACCGTAGTGGATGAAAAAACTTATTTGGTTGGTGAGAGGTGTCTGTATTTAGTAAAAATGTGTAAAAAATTATCCACCAGAAGTTTGCTGATACAGTCATACCATACCAGTAACACATTTCAAATTTCTGTCAATTTCAGCTCCCTAGGTGAACTGAATAGAAGTTAGATATTAATGAAATGACATATGTGCTATGATAAGTAAATAAATAAACTGTTGCATGATAAGAATGAGTATGAACAGATGAATGGCTGTCGACTGATCAAGATTCTGCATCATGAATCTATGTTAAATGCAGTTCACTTGGCGGGTTTAGAAGCATGATCAGTGTGGTAAATTAACTCCATTTGGATGTTGCTGTTCCCACTGTACTGAATGGTTTAACTACCAAGCTTTCATGTCTTTCTAGTGAACATATTCAGCGCCTACATCAGCATAATTTAATTCTACTGTAATTGTTTAAATCCCACTGTTCAACCACAAACCATTGAACTGTTTTATGATGATTGTGTTTTCCTAAATTTCAAGGTTAGATTTCACACTTACATTATAGATACTTTCTGCGATGAGAAGCCAACTTGCGTGATCTTGTTTCTTGGTTGTTTCGAAATTTCCTCTCATAATTCAACCTAATGGTTGGCCTCTTGAAAGTGGTGGCCAGCTGATGCGATTACTTTGCTAACTTCAATCACGTCAACAGCCATCTCATCCTTTCAGTAAAACATTTGATGTTTGAGATAACATTCAGTCACTGAGAACAAGTGTATCACTTTAATTTTCAGCTCCACCGTCAGATGATTGTCGTCAGTTCTCAATTAAATTACATTACATTCTACACTTATCGCATTCATTCAGCGAGTGGTGTGTGACACTGATCAATCCCGCTTTCCATCTCATCGAAATCAAATGCACCACTTAGTTTCCAAGCATATGACTTTCACATCTTTTAGTGCAGGTTATCATTATCATTGTCTTCGGTCAAACGTTTTAGACGAAGTTTCTGCACAATTATGAACAGTCTCGTCACAGTCAATAATTTTAAGTTATAAAATGACAATCCTATTTTACCAAAAAAATACCACAATGTGAGTTCAAGTTGTAAATAAAACAGATAAACTAAACAAATGTGGTCTTCAGCTGAAGTGATTTAACAAGAAGTACATTGTTTGGCAAGATTGAAAGGATTCAATCGACCAATATATGCGAAGTGTGTTGTTCAAAAATGTTTTTAGTGTAATTAAAATACGCCAGGATTTCGGTGTATTATGCTTTTGTAAGTGAATACAAAGGAAGATTATGTGAAAATTAGGACTGAATTTTCTAAATGAATTAATTACAGCTTGACTATCACTCGACTATATATTGTCAAATGGATTCACTGAGATGAATATAGGGTAAATTTCACTCATACGTGTATGGAAATGAACATTATGAGAAGTTATGCACACCATTCACTTGATTTGTTTAATCACTCATACTCTCCGATGATTCACTGTCCCACTAACCAAATATTTGAAATAGCTTGTATCTGTATTTCTAAATGCCAATCAAAGGTTACAGTATTAGTCACTGAAGCTCGGACAGATCAGGAATTCGCTATCACTTGGATTCATGCTGATTCATAAAACAGCTTATTAACTGAAAGAAGATTGCACCAGCCAAACAACTTTTGCTAATCACCAAAGGATATTTTCACTTTCAGCAGTACTGACTAATGTTGCTAATAACAATTAAGTGAAACTGTAATTAAATCAGAGAATGGGGTCATATTTTATGAGGAGGATTGGTTCTTTTGTCAAATAACTGGAAACTTATATTTGTAACTGCAGATCTATAGTGTCATCCTACATTTGATGTTAAAACTTTGAATATGCAATGAAAAGCGGTATACCTTCCAGTACATTCGTCTTAGAGAGAGAATTACTGGTGTGTTATTGAATCCTGTGATATTACGAGATCGACCACTAGTTCCTGTATTACGCTATGGATGAATGTCCTATGGGATTCATAAGCTGAGAATTATTTATATCTCTTTCCTTCCAGGTATTTATTATCTCCACTAGATGAAATTCCACAAATATGGTGCAGTGAAGTTATAAATAAACAGAGCAAATAGTAGAGAACAGATACCGCCTCTGTTTACTTAGCGAAAATTTATGTAATTGTTTACACAAGTTCATTTTCACCAGAACTGTTGGTAGGTCTGCTTTTGAGAAATGTTACCGATATAGAGGAGTAACTTGAGACATCTATTTTATGGAGGATTTAATCATGAGCTGACATTAGTTAGAGAACCACTGGAAAACCTGGGAGTACTGGACAGCTGTTTTGTCCTAGTTTGGGACTCTTCAGCAGTACGCACCCACCGGGATTCGAACCCAGGACCTTCCGGTTACAAGGCGAGCTCGTATACCATTAAGCGACTGGGACCCGATCCAATGGTTCTTGAATTCTAACTTCTGCCAATTCACGACATCTATTATAAATTAGGATATTTCTAAAGAATTGAATAATGTGAAATAACGAAAGGACGTTGTGAGTAGGTACCCCTTAGCATTACTAAGATTGGATAACTTTATGAAACGTTTTACGAATATTTTATTTTTGATTACAGCTTGATTCCACACAGTATTCTTGGTACAAGTATGGGATTTTTAGTATGGATAACTGTAGCCCAAATTGCAGGCCAACCATAGATATCAGGTGTGCATCGGCAGGGGATCGAACCTTGGACTATGTGCATGGTCGGCGATAGTCCTAACCACTGTGCCACCGACGTGCAAGCTAGAAGGGAGGTATGAATAAGAAGCCTTCATTGTTAGTGGAAAACAAGACAAGTAGTAAAGTTGAAGCATTTTCCGGGGATTAAATTTTTTTAGCTGCAAAAGAAAGATTCCGCTCCAGTTACTGCAGGAGCCTAAGCCCCCTTTATCCGACATTCTGGAAAGATAGTCTTTTTCCCACTCACTATACACTTTTCCGTCCTTCCGAATGTCTTGCAATATTGTTATGAGGATGTCCGTTGCAGTCTCCGGGTCCGTTTTCAATGCTTTGGAAGGAATTTCATCTGATCCTGATACCTTCCCGGACCTGAGAAGCTTATTTTCGCTCACGATTTCTACTTTCGTTGGAGGATTGTTGTCAAGTGACAGTTTTGTGCGTGCTGTTGTTGTTATTTCTGGCAGGTTCCAGGTGTTTTTCGATTCGGGTGTGCTTCAAAGCGACCAGCTTATTATTTCATTTGTTCTTTCTCCTTGGCGACCAGGTTCCCTTGGCCATCTTTTATAGGTTACATATACTTTGATCTTTTCTTGAATAGATACCTGGATATCTGCTATAACACTCTGAGGTACCTTTTACTTGCAGCCTGTTCTGCGTCAGTTGTAAGTGTCTCCTGGAATTTTCGTTTGTCTTTTCTGGCACTTTTCGTTACCACCTTATTCGGTGCGATACAAATAGGGCTCAGCCTTTCCTTTCGTTGATTATCTTCGCAATGAGTCACCTATTTCGCCATCCTCCTCTCACCTGTTAACTTCCGTGTGGAGGCCGTTGAGAGCCATTCCTTGTCTTTCTTCTTCCGTCTTCTCAGAACAGTTGTACACATTTCCTTGAACATCACGTTCAAACAGCTGCTTCCAATGTTCTTCCACATAGGTATCCTCAGTAATGCCACGTAGTGTCCTCGACTTTGCTCTGATGGCTGAAGTGAAGGCGTCCCTTGTAGTTCTCTCCTTCAGTTTCCGAATGTCGAACTTGAATTACAGTGGCCTGTCTCCAGTTACAGGCAAGGCTTTCAAAGTCGCCTGTTAGGTCCCTTGACTTAGATGATGGTCCGAGCTCACACCTGCTCCCCTTTCTAGACGTTATCTCCGACAAACAAGCTGCGTCTCCACTTCCGTAAGCAGCATTGAGATGAAATGTATCTGTTTTGTGGTGTATGAAATCGAAATCCATGTTGTTGTCCTTGTGTATATCCTTGTGTTTGTACACAGGCTGCCTCCGATCACCAAGTTATTGAAGGCACAGAAGTCAGCGAAGAGTTCTTCATCGTCATTCATTTCACCTGGACGGCTCGACCAATGATGATTTCTCTTCCCGTATTGTTTGTTCTCAGTTTGGTTAGTTTGGTTGATATCACTCATTAGAATTTCGATGTCTTTATTTGGGATGTTTACCACAACTGTTTGCAATTGTCTATAGAAATCTTCCTTGTTCTTTTTTCTGAGTTGTAAGTAGCACTGTGTGTAGCACTGTGTGATAGTAGATTTCCGTGCTTCCTTTTGAGTTGATTTTTGCTGGATGAGAAGATTGGTTCTAACTTGTTCAGAGCTTTGGCTGCCACTTTTGTTTTCCTGACAGCCACTCACCTACTCAATTTGCTCGTATTTGTCGTTGGCATAAACTGATTCCGATTTTTTAGCACGGATTTCCTTTAATTTTGACATAAATTATCGCAAAAGAAGAGTTAGCAGAAGTATTAGGTAATTTATACTTCTCAGATTTGTGGCAAAATATTCATTTATTCTTTGGAATCGGCCTGAGTTTCATCATATGTTTGCCAATATGGAGTATGCAAATTATTTGAACATATTCAAGTGTTGGTTTGTAGGGATTTGATTGGTTTCAGGATTTCATCATGAGCTGACATTAGTTAGAGAACCACTGGAAACCCTGGGAGTACTGGACAACTGTTTCGTCCTATTTTGGGACTCTTCAGCAGTACGCACCCACCGGGATTCGAACCCAGGACCTTCTGGTTACAAGGCGAGCTCGTATACCATTAAGCGACTGGGACCCGATCCAATGGTTCTTGAATTCTAACTTCTGCCAATTCACGACAAAGCGTGACCGCTAGCCAATGTCTTCGGCGAGTATTTGTCTTCACACCTGACCCGCTGCACCCTACTGGTCACGACTTCACTTTGAACCCCAGGTAACTACCTACCTGAATAGAGCCAGTCGCCAGTGAGCATCTCATTGCTATTCAAGTATTGTCAACTCATGATGAAATTCTGTAACCAATCAACCAAATCCCTACAAACCAATATTTGAACGTCATATATGCAAAGGACAAGTGGTGACCTGTGTAGACACTGAATAAATCTTTGACTTTAGGATTAAGTGGCATAACCTTAAACCACAGCATTTGGTCAGGTTTGGAAAAACGCCTTACTGATAACAGATACCAATCTAGAAATATCTAGTGAAAGTTGTCCATATGTATTTTATTATTTCTCGTTTTATCGTCGAACATCTGTTTCTCTTCCTAGGATACACTTAACTACTTTATTTTTGGATACTTCAAAATGGAATTGACCTCAATTACTAATCATCATTATGTTCTATTACTGTCGAAAGATAGAAAGAGAGACTGTATTTCAGTTCATTATCTTGTTTTCTGAAAACCGTAAAATAATGTTAAGCTGAAAGCATTTTTCTCTTTCCTCTCACACTGAAATCTTTAAAGATAACGAAACGATTGTATAAAATGAATCTATTTCTTGATGGCACATTATTAAATCTTGACTTCTCTTTTCTACTGACCTCTTCAATATAGTGGTAATGCTTCTGGTGTGCACGTTAAATTCCTTAACGCTTAACAATATAAAAAAATTAATGCT